GCCGCCGCCTGTTTTTTTTCTTTTTTTTGTTGTTCTTTTTGTTTTTTAAGACAGGGTTTCTTTGTGTAGCCCTGGCTGTCCTAAAACTCCCTCTGTAGAACAGGCTGGCCTCAAACTTAGAGATCCTCCTGCCTCTGCCTCTGGAGTGCTGGGATTAAGGGCATGTGCCCCCACTGCACAGTAAGATTTTTTTCTTAATCTCAGAGTGCCATACAAATATAATTATTTTCCACATGATGTGAAATGGTTGAACAGAGCTGTTTTAAAAGAAGGGAGGGGGCCTCTTGTCTCCAGCTCCACTTTTGGGGTTGCTAGGAGGCTAATCAACAAGATGTCCACAGGAACTCCAGACCATGGGCCCTGCAAAAGCAGGAACTGGGTCTGTTGTTGCTCAGCTTTATATCCTGGGCACCTAGAAAACACTTGGCACGTTGTAGCTGCTCAAAAATTATTTGTTGAACGAATAAATACGGTTTCCTGGGCTTGAAGCCCAGTTCTGCTTCTCATCTGCTATGTGACCTGGACAAGTGCCAAACCTAAACTTTCTCTGGACCTCTGTGGTCCTCTTGGATAGAAGAAATAGGGGGACTAGAGGCCTGGTTGTCTCTGGTGTTCTGTTCCCTCTGACATCCACTAAAGCGGCATAGCAGGGCCATGCCAGGCATGTTGGACAATCATGTCTGACCTGCCCAAGGTGAGGCGGGTAAACTGGGGTCCCTTGGCCTGAATGTGGGCGACGAGGCACCTGAACCAGTGATGAGTAAATGTGGGCCACTTCAGATTGGAGGCAGAGAATATTTAAAAATAAGTCTTTGAGGCTGAGTGTGGTGGCATACGCCAGTGCGGGCTACATAGTCAGACTGGTCCCCACCCCACCCCCCAAAATTGATTTTTTAAACAAGTCTCTGATGAGAACTTAAAAAAAGCTTATTTTATTTGTCTTTTCTTCTTTAAGCAGAAATTCAGTGAAAACATTAAGGATTGGGAGTTATAGTTCCTTTACTCAAGGTGACTGCTGACTTTAGAGCAATGGTCCTCAATCTGTGGGTTGCGACCCCTTTGGGAGCAAGTAACCCTTTCCCAGGGGTCACCTAAGACCATAGGAAAACATAGAGATTTACATCATGATTCATGACAGTAGCAAAATTACAGCTGTGAAGTAGCAATGAAAATAATTGTGTGGTTAGGGGTCAGCACAGCTTGAGGGACTGTATTTGAGGCCCGAAGCGTTAGGAAGGTTGAGAACGCTGCTCTGGAGAACTAAGGCAGACTGCGTTCTGACACCAGCCCTTTGCGGGGTCCCTGGTGTGATTTACTCTCTCTCTTTTCAGGAAGGCACATATAAAGCCATTGGTTTTGTGAACCAAATGGCCGTTCACTTCAGCCAGGTGGGGAACCTGATTCCCAAGGACTCAGATGAAGGACGGCGCCAGCATTACCGTGCCGAGCTGGCGGCAGGTAGGGCTGTGGGTGGCTTACGGTCCCTCCAGGGCTTTGCAAGACCGCTGCTTTCATGGTGTCCAACTGCAAGCTGTCCTGGACGGGCCTGGGAGCTAACCCAGGTCACGGAGAGCCCAGGGGACAAGCAGGGTCTGACAGGCAGGAAGATGATCCTCCCTGCCAGGGACTGACTGAGCCATCTTGGACCCTGAACTCATTAGCAATATCCTGTCAAGGGTCACAGGAGTCTGCTAAGGTGGTGACTTCAGAAACAGAAGTCCTTGAAGAGGATGAAGAACCCAAAGAGGCAGAGACTGAAGCTGGCAGTCAAACAGATGTACCTGCCGCAGCTGAGGTGCGTGCGGGTGGGGCTGCTCTTTGTCCCCACCGTTCCAGGGCAGCCGTGGGTGGAGGCTTGGGGTGACCTGGGGAGGAAAGAGTGGAGTAGATGCTGTATGCGCCAATGTTTCTGGCAGCATCCTCTCGCCTGCCCCCACCCCACCTGGCCGGGGCTTCCTTCCCCTGACTCCTGATGGCCCACTGTCTCCCTCCCAGTTAAGCTCTGGCCCTCCTGATTTGTTTCCAGACCACTGAAAAGGTGGTGGAAGAGGAACTTATGGCACCTGTGCAGCCCAAGGAGCGGAAACTCACCAACCAGTTCAACTTCAGCGAGAGAGCATCACAGACCTTCAACAACCCCCTCCGGGTAGATCCCCCCCACCCCTTTACAGACCTCCAACAACCCCCTCCGGGTAGATCCCCCCCCACACCCCTCCACAGACCTCCAACAACCCCCTCCGGGTAGATCCCCCTCCACACCCCTCCACAGACCTCCAACAACCCCCTCCGGGTAGATCCC